GGGGGGGGCCCCCCCGGGACCCCCCGGGGCCGCTGGGGTACGGCTGGGCCGCGTCGCAGCCTGAGCTCTTTGCACCATTTTTGACCCAATTCCCATCATTTTACCCCCAACCCCCTGGATTATTCAATAACGTGAACTCCCTCGGCTGCCCCGCAGCAGCCCAGTCCTCCCAGCGCCGCGACCTGCCTCAAATAAATCGATTTATAATCATAAAGGTGGGTGAAAGCGCTGCGACGCCGGGCCCTAAATGAGGAAGGTGAGTTAATTGCGGCGGGGTCATTAACGTTAGACCCCGGCCTCCCCTGGGGATGCTGCCCCCCAAAAGATCCCCTCCTGGGAGTGTTTTGGGATGTAGTCAAGTATGTAGGGTTTTTTTCCAGGGAAGGAAATAAAAAAGTTGCTCCACAGCAGGGCAAAGTGCCGGGCAACGTGTAATTAAAAACAAAACCAACAATTTTATTCCGATTAAAGATGCTACACGAACAACTCCTCTTATTTTTCTCCCCAGCGAGCAGCTCCTTATTTTTCCCCCAAGCTTTGGAGCATTGGGAATACTAGGCTTTTTTTAATTAAAATTTATATTTTTATATCTATCGTCGATGGGGGCAGGAATTAAAAAGAAATTTGCTCTCGTAACGAAGAAATCTGATGCGCTGCCGGCCGGGCTTAACTCCCCGCTACCGAAATGGAGCCAGGGACGCGCTCCCTCCGCTTTTCCGTCTCAATAACTACCTCGTTAGATAAATTTGGGTTAGAAATGATTATTTTTTTTTTTTTTGAAGGTAATTAATTGCAGGAACAATTTGCTGTGTTCTGATGGGTGACGCTTAAATCGAGAGGGCATTTTGCAAGGGAGAAAGGGAGTTTTATTGGAGCAGGCGGCAGTAGGGGTGCTGGGAGGTGGGGGATGAGCTCACCCCCGCCCCTTAAATTTAATATTTAATATTATTAAAGCGGGACATGCTTTTCTGCCCACGGAGCTGGGCTGCTCCAGCTCTTCGCATGCAAAAACATCTCCTGGGCTTGTTGCAGACGCTCTTGTGGTTGCAATGCTCAGAGGGCTTGTGTCGCCGTCCCCGGCTGACCTTTAAGAAATCAAATAAATAAAAAACTAAAACGACGTCGCCCCGACTCCGCTTCCCCTCGCCGCGGGTTTTCTCCCACGCCGATAATCCCCCCTCCCCCCCCCCCAACTTACGCCCACCCCCTCTTCCCCTCTCCGCTGGTTTTCTCCCACCCCGGAAAGCCCCTCCCCCCCCCCCCAAAATTTCGGCCGAGCCCGTGGTGCCGGTGTTGTCCCCCCTCTTTGGCTGCCAAATCCCCCCCATCGGTGAACGCCGGCGCTGTGGCACATGCTGTGGCTTTAGGAGCAGGTTTTACCCGGCCCTTGGTGGGTGCGTAAGTTTTTCCTGGGCTGGGAGCCAACGTGCAGCCGCGTTATCCCGGGCAATGGCTGGATCCGGTTATCCTCACTCCGGCAAGCGTGCACAAGCGTGCAAGATGCTGGAAGGCTGCACCCCTCCCCTCAGTAACCCCCTGCACCCATCCCAGGACGGGACCCCTTGCAATCAGCTTCCGAGATGCTCATTAAAGCCTCGTCGCTAATTTTTACGGGCCCTTTTTAAATGTGGATTTTTCTGAAATTCCCTCCTGGGACACTTTATTCTTCTTATTTTTTAAAGGGATTATTCATTTCCTCGTTCCGTGAGGCAGGCAGCACCCTGAAATCCTTCCACACTGGAGGAAAAAAAACAAATGGGTAAAAAAAAAAAGAAAGAGAGAGTTGTAAAGCCAAACGCAGCCCGCTGGGGGCTTGGGGGGGCTGCTGTCGCCCTGCGGGTTGGTAGCTCCTCCGAGCATCCCAGCTTCCACACAAAAGAAAGGATTTATTAAAATTATAAGCGCCGCGCTCTTCTTCCTATAAGGTTAGTAGGGAAAAAACCACGAGCGTTGGGTGTCTCCAGGCTGTAAATAAGTTTATTGCACAGAAGGAAGAAGTATGCTGTGTGTTGTTTGTTGTGTTTTTTTTTTTTTTTTTTCCCCTAAACTCCAAATAAAGCTGCTGTTTTCTGCAAGCAGTTTTAAAAAAAGCAAAACAAACCCTGTGCGTGATTTCGCAGGAGTTTCCCATGCAAGGCTACCCTTAAAAATCAACTTTTGGGTTTTTTTTTCCTCCCCCTTAACTCGCCCTCTTAAGCCTTTCCTTTAATGGCGAGGTTAAAGCCGAAAGGCTCCCGGATCTGCCGGGCAGCGTGTTTGGAGCTGGGAAGCCCGAAGCGAGCAGGAGGAGCTGACTCACGGTGACCCTGCCTGGGGAGAGCCTCCAAAAATGCCGGCAGCCTTCCTACCGCCTCTATCCCTTCGCCTCCTCAAGCTGCCGGAGCTGGATAGAAATATAAGTTGTTTTGGTTTGTTTTTTTTTTTGCTAGAGGTTAAAATTATAAGTTTTTTTTTTTTTTTTTTTTTTTTTTTTTTTGGTTAAAGTTGCAAAAGTCGTTTTATTGTTTAATTCTTTGTGGGGTAGTGGCTGGGGGGGGGACAAAAAACACGCCGGCGTGA